AGTATTCTTATTATAAATATACAATAAACAATTTAGCTTATTTTTTCTTTTTTGCAATATTACTAATAATTTTGTATAATATAGGATATATTATTGTAAATAGCCAATAAAATCGAAATAATATTCGAATTATTTCAAAAATTGAGGGAAAACTAAAGCTTAAATAGTAAAAAACTTATTTTTTATTAATATAAAACCAAATATATTTATTCTTTAACTAAGTAATATAATAAAAAAATAAATTAAAAAGTATTTCTTAGAATTCAAAACAATATTCACATTTTTTAGTTACAAAAAAATCTATTGAAAATATTTTAAATAATTCTTAAATATATAGCTAAAAATAACAATATTATTGATATAAATTCTCACAAACTCTCTTTTTGATTTAAAAACAATATTAATATATTTTTGAATATAAATCAATAAATTTCTGAATCTTATTACTATATAAATAAATATTTCTTAATTATAATAAAATAATATAATAAGGTACTTTTGATAATTTTTTTTGATATATTATTAATAGAAAAAGCTAGCATAATTAATAATGAATATAAAAGAATATTTAGTTATAACTATAATAATATTAGTTTGTATAAGAATTGAATATATATTAGAAATAACAATTTAATTTAATATACAAATATTTATAATAACCCTGCCTTTTCTTAATATAATTCCTTTCTTATTAACTATCTTTTTTTATATATAAAATACTAGAAAACTAAAAAGGATTAATTTTATTATTTATTTGAAGTAATTTTGTTTATAAAGTTTATTATAAGTTTTATTTATAAGAATTTGATTTTCTTGATTTATAGAATAAATCTTTGTTTTATCCAATCTAAATTTCTCTTTTCAATTTTTATATAAATTGATTTTTATTTCTTTGTCTTTTAATATATTTACAAAACCTTTTTAATTTTCCTAAATTATGTAATTATTTATTATTAAATCCCCTAATTACTACTTTTATATCTTATTTTTATAAATCATAATTCCATTTGATAGAATAATCTCTTATTTAATAAGTTCTAAATCAATTGTATTTATAAAACCTAAAATATTATTTACACTATCAGCTATCCATAAGGCTATAATTATTACAATTGTAAGCAATCTTTTAGCTAAAAAGCATTTCTTGAATTCAAATATAATAGTTAGTATTTGAATAAAATAATAAATATCAATTTTATTTATAACTATTATCACTTAAATATCAAATTCTATAATATTCTTAAACTTTAGATTCTTATAAATCACTACCTTTTTATTTATAGAGTTCTCAATTATAATAAAACTAAGCTTACCAAATACTAAATATAAAAAGAATATAAAATTCCTTTATTACAAAAATTTATAGATTATATTATAAACTGGAAAAAACAATTTATTACTTTTTCTACCCATAGTTAATATAAATACTTAAAAATAAAATAAAATAATAATTTCATTTATAATATAAACTAAATTTTTTCTCTTAACCTCCTTCAACTATATTATAATCTTAATTTACAAACCTATATATTAAAATAAAATTAAGATTCCACTATCTAAATCAATAATCTATCCTTTTAAAATAATAATATTATTACCCAATAAAACTTTAATATTCAGTATATCCATAATATAGATTTTATAATAAAAATAAATTATAATACCATTAATTACTAATAAATAGAAATCCAAATTCATAAATTAGCTTATATCATATCTTTAAAAATCTAGATTACAAATATTCATAGTTTTGTTTATAATATAAATCTTTATAATAGAATATATTTCGAATAAAAAAGATTAATTGATTAAATTCATATTACAATTTGTATTAAAATAAACCATATATACTTTATTTTAAGGATTACCCAATAATACTTTAATTTTAGCATATCTTCAGCCCCTGAATATATAATCTAACAACAATTTACTTACTTTAACTATAAAATAAATTATTTGAGATCAATATTAAATTAAAAATAATTTTTTAAATTTAATTAATACAATATTTCACTTAGATTGATTAATAAATTATAAAGAATAAAATAAAATGGTTTTTGAAATATTATTGATTTTGGATTTCACTAAATATTTCATTAATTTATATTTTTTATATTAATCTCTAAAATAAATATATAATTTATTTTTATACAAAACATTTTTGATAATTATAATATTAATATTTAGCTTTATTGATTTTAATATCTTAGAATATTATAAGATTATTCAATTTATATTTGAAATCAATATTTAAAAAAGTAAACCTTGATTTCTAATTTCCCCCACTAAATTGAAAACTTTTAATATTATTTTAATATACACCATTGGATTTTGCATTAATTAATATCTTGGTTTTTAAAAACTTAAATAATATTAGAATAGAATCTTAAACAAAATAAATATACTATATATCTATCTTTTCACCATAAATATCAAAATTAGTATTTGATTTCTTATAACTGTTTTTCAATTCTTAATAATAAATTTGATTATACACATAATTGTTATAATCTTTTGTTATTTTATTTATAATAATAGTTTTTTTTATTTTATTCTTTTTGATATTATAGATTCTTGTTTTATTAGTTTTCTAATTTTATTTGAAATTCTATTTTTAATATAATTTCCTATTTAATAAAAATATATTTTACCTAACATTATTCTTTATTTTATTAATATTATATTTCTTATAAAAATTAGAAGAATCCTTAGAAAATAAAAAGAAATAAATAAATCCACAATTATTCCAGTATTATAACCTATTAGAAAAAAAGTACTTATTATTATACTAGTTGAATGAACAACTATCAATAAAATTAAGGCAATAAATATCAAACTAGTTATCCTTTTTTTATCCAATTTATTTTATAAAGATTAATAAACTCATCTCTATTATTAAAGTAAATATATAAATACAAAGCTCTACAACCAAATATCAATAAATAATAAGTATTTGAATATATTCAAACTCGATGATATCTATACTCTAACTAAAAACCATAACATTCTAAATAAACTCTTCAGAATTTTTATATTAATATATATCTCCAATAATATATTTAAGTTTTTCTAACTTTTCAAATACTACACCTAATAACATATAAAAGCATATCTTTAATTTAATATATCAATTCTCAATACTAATCTTCAGTTCAACTCATATTATATTAGATATTTTGTTAATATATCAAAACTCTACTTTTCTATACAAACATTAATCAAACTAGGAAATAACAAAATAAACAGCAAATAATTCCTCAATAATATCTAAAGACTTAGTTTTTATATAAATAATAAATAAGAATATATTATAAAAAATCAAAATATTATTCATTATTTTAATAAATATATTAACCTGATTATCCAGATTAAAATAATCTAAATTTTGAGGATAGAAATATAAAATAATTATTGATAAAAGATTCTATTATATAAAAGTTTAAATTACTTATAATAACTATTAAAATTATTCTATAAAAAAGATTATAGCTAAAGGTTTCATTTTATTTAGTAAAAGGTTATTAATAATATTATTTGATAATACAGATTATATCAAAAAGAATACACTAGACATTACAAAACAATAACCTTGCCTTACAATCTACAATATAAATAAAGTATCAATAATACTTTAAACTGCCTTGACCATTTAATTATAATTATTAAATTAATTAATAAATATATTAAATATTTATTGAAAATTGTTTAATAAAGAAAAGAAATTATTTAATAAAGATTTATATAAAAAAACAAATATTATTTAATTATTTACACTCAGATTCAATAAAACCTAAGTAATAGTGTTTTATTACTAAACTAATAATTTGTCTCAAACTCTAAAATATTCAATAAAAAAAGAATCAAATAATCTCACTCTTAATATAATCTCTTAAAAAGTTATATTAAATTGAATTCTTGATTTAATAATAAAACTATCTTATATTATTATCTAAAAATATAATACCCTATCAAAATATACTTAAATCCATAATAATATTTAGGTACAATAAATAAAATATTTTTCTACAATTTAAAAAAAATATAATAAAAGATTTAATTATGGAATATATAATATAACAAAAAAAACAATCTAATATAATAATTAATAATCTATTTTAATACCCAAGATGGGATTTGCTACCATTTATAAGATTTGTATATAAATTAAAAGATAATTATTTAAAATGATGCCAAGAGCTAAAATATTGGCACTGGCTTAGCTAATCTGAGCTAGACTAATTTAGTACATATACGTGATTAAAAGTATAATAATATATGATGTATACTCCGTGTGCTTGCTCCTGATGCGAACTAAGCGAGCTCGTGATAGTCTGACAGACGCAATATATTATACGCACACCGACCAAAAGTATAAGCTAATGTATGTAATCCATCAACTTGAACCTGAAAGACCATGATAAATGTTGGTATACAATATGATGAGAGTGATCTAAATTGAAAATTCTCTTTGTTTGTGAACGTAAATGGGAAGGCTGAAAACTATCATGTGGTGCATGTACTAGGCAGACAGACTGAGATTTTGTGTCCAGCTAGAGAATCGCGTGATGTCTTCTGATCTATGCAATATGATAAAGCAATAGGATTATGACGTGCAAACCTGGAATAAGTCAGAGAGCAGTAGAGATACGCTGCTAGATTGTCTGAATATTAGAGAAAAAGTGGCAGGCTGAATCTTGCCAACCATTTGGTTTGATACCCAACTCTGAATGCAAGGAAAGATATCAATCAATTCGAAGTCACATATAAAGACACGCCCGAAGGTAATCAATGCAGACGTCAAAATTACAGTTAAAAGTATAAATGAAGCCTGAGTAAATTTCCCTACGCCTACGCTCGCATCCCATGCCATACGTCCTAGTCTCCAGATCCCTATATATAGTGTATGTGCAAAGTTACGCCCCCCGAAATTCCAAACGAAAACTTATAATACAAAAATTCTAAAACTCCCGTTCAAATTGATGTACAATGCCGAATCTTCCTCATAGTTTCGATCTAACAGCTTCCAGCCTGTACTTTACATCTTGTAAAACTTTAGTAGTAGGCTTCCAATCATCGAATTGCTTCAGTAGTTCTACTGCTTCGTTGTGCAGTTCTGTTTTCACGAACTCTTCCTCGAGAACACCACGCATGATCCAGGGTAAAACGTAGGGATTTGCATTTGTAGGCGGGGCATATTGGGACATGTGCAAAGGTACGTCGGGAACTGAAGTAGTGGTGAGGGCGTGGTCCATTGCCATGCTGAGAATACATGTTAATAAAGTAGGGAATATTTTCCTCGAAACAAGAGAAGACTTACTCATATATTTTGTCATCGTCATAGAGACGGGAGTGACCACCACCAGTATAGAGACTTCCAGCCAGAGGTGCCGATAGTTCGCGAATGAGCCCGTGATCCGACACACCAAGATTGCGCAATTTCAACGCGAAGCCGACTAAGTGGGCAATAAAGTCCGGAGCATGTATGCGTCCATCCACAAAGACAGCTCGGTAAATATAGGGATGTTCTGCTGGCGAGAAGATGGCGGACTAGAATGCTGTTAGTAATGACATCAACAAAATCGAGAAAATATGTTGACATGCCTCAATAGATACGAGTTGGTCGTCAATACTCGCGCAAAAAGTCACCCTTACTCCGTATTTTAAGACCCGTCGAAGGGCCTTTTCATAATGCTTTGCCACCTCACTTTCGTAATTTGCAAATTCAAAAAGTTCTGTAATCATCTCGTTGAATAATGCTGCTTGATATCCAGTTTGATGACTTGCAAAAGGACCTAATGACACACCAGCTAATGGTTTGTTAGAGATATTTAAATACCAGGATGATTTCTCGCAGCTTACCCATTGCACATACGCCGATTCTCGCTGACGATACTATACCCTCTTCTATCAATTTTGCGACAAGCATCAAAGCAACTGGGACACCCTGTGAATGAGCAGCCACCATAATGAAATCTGCTTGCCGCAATCGATCTGTCCAATTACTGAGAAGTTTCCAGAGTTTATCCACCCTCTCAAAGATTTTGCCCTCACCATCAAGTGCCACTTTCTCTATTTCACAATCAGGAGATCCATGTGCATCTGCCCACCGCTTTATAGCAGCCGCTGCATGATTAGCGAATCTTATCGAAGTTCCACTGGGCTGTCCGATGAGTTTGCGCAACAGAGGTGCAGGGAATAGGCCATGCACGCCTATCGCGACTGCATTCTTAATTGTTGGTACTTCCTTCGCCAAAGATACATGCTTCATGGGTTTCTGTCGGCCACGTACAATCAATCTTGTCAATTGCCGTAAGAATGATGGATTTTCCATCAAATGATAAGTACTTTGTACGGAAGGTAACAATAGATTAGGCGGCGAGGGGATGTGAGATGGAGTGGTGACTTTTTTGGATGCATCATCTAGTTGTGCACTTGCAGTTTTTTGAGAGATTTCTTCGATATCTACAGACTTCGGTCGACTTTTCTTGCCGGCCCCCTTTGGCTTTTTGTCCCCATTTAACGACTTAGTTTCGACGGCTGGAACAGCTTGAGCTGGAAGCGGATGGTTTTGAGATTGCTCGCCCGAGATTGCTAACTCGCCAGTTTCCCCCTTATTGCTATCCTCCAGAGGCTCGGTACCCTTTTTGGTATTGTCGGAGTACCAAAACGCCGATGCCCAACTAGACCCACCAGGTTGCGTTGTAGATCTACTCGGTGTCGATTGTGGAGATTTAGATGCATCTTTCGATGCATCTTTGATAATTTTGATGGGATTGCTCTCCAATTCTTGGGTTAAAACTGGTTCTCTTGGGCGTTCTGCAGGAATTGGAGGTTGAGAGGCTGACCATAAATTAAACCATGACCTCGATGCTGATAATGTTTGTTTCGGAGCCTCCATTGCTTCTTCTGCCATTGCCTGCTCTGGTATAATTGTCTCATTTGATGGGAGTTCTTCAGTATCTTGTTTTTGAGGCTCCTCCACCACGGGAATAGACACTTTTGAGTCCTTTGATGTTTGCGATGGCATGCCTAACCAGCCTAACCAGCCTTGAGATGTGACTGGCGGCTTTGTAATCTCAGCAATCGGCGAACTTTGCGAGTTTGTTTCTTTGGGTGTATCAGACTCCCCCAACGATCGGGTTCTTGGAGGTGTTTCCGGATTGTCAACATCTCGGGCTACATTCTCATCTTTCTTGCTACTTGTCTTATTGTCCGAAGTCCCCTGCAGTGGCGCGCTCAACGTTATTTCTGATGCTGGCTTGCTTTTCCCTGGGTACATCGATGGAGGCCTGGATGTGACTGATGAAGGTTTTCGTTGATCGCGATGGCTCAATTCCGTCGCCATATTCCCGTTCGATGGTTTATCAGCTAAGATTGTCTCTTTCACGACCTGTGTAGAAACAGTAGATTTTCGCGGCCAAGTTCCATACCAACTCGCTCTCGATCCGAGCTTTATTACCTTGTTAGCTTCACTACACCGACACAAACTCGTTTCAACAGCAACGGGACTTGGGCATCTTACTTTTTTGTTAGAAGCTGCACCATGCTGACCGTTGTTGGTAGTAGTGTGTCCCGGTTCTGCGGCATTTTTTGAGGAAGACGGTGACTGGTCCTTGGAAGGATTTAGTTTTGATCGTTTGCGTGAGGGTAGCATTCCAAGATCGATTACTCCTGGCTATTCGGACGACCGGTTTTCAAATTCCTCCCAGGGGCGCGGCTACTTAATGAAATGATTCTATAGCCTCATATCACTAAACAACATATATTGCTGCCCCGCGAGTAACAAGGTTATTTGCCCCGTGCAAGGGTGTTTGGATTGGTCGTCCTAATAATACTCTGTCCGCTGTGGTATCAAGAGGAAAATGTGTAAGGACCTTACTGGCGATAGATAAAGTCGAGGATGGAAAACAAAAGGAATTCAATATCTGGGGACTAGTGAAAGTGCGGATGGAGATTAAGTACGTAGGATCGTGAGTGTTCAAACTTAGTTTTAAGAGTTTACTGTACGTCGGCATGTATCTATGAATTGTGATAACGTTTGTATGTACCTAGCAGTTCTAAATTACCATGTGACTAAATCATTCTGGAGCCAAAGAGCCAAAAAGCAATAACGAGTGCAGTAGCAGAAAAGCTAGAAGCAAGAACCTTGAATCATCTATAAAACATCATCAAACATCAAACATCACGATCAAGAGATAGATATACTTAGGTATGATGAACATGTATGAATATGTATGATACGGATGGACTATTCCTATTTGTATTGTGATTTTCGTGAATGCAACTTACTACATTTAGTTACCCGTCTCCCCATACAGACAGAGTACAGATTAGATAGATAACCGTGTCGGGCCTGCGTGTCTGTCATTTTCCCGAGGTCAGCCCACCATTGGGCCAGCCTTGCGTCACTCAGCCTTGTGTCAGCCTTATCTAGGTGCAGAATGATGCGGAATGTCGGTCTTTCATTGATCCCTGCAATTTTTTGATTCTTGATAGGAAGAAGAAAAAAAAGTTGTGAAGCTCGAAAGTCGTCGTTCGTTTCCTGTGCGACTTCGATATCTCTTTTCTTAATACTCACGAGCCATTCCTTTCAATTAATCACAATGGCGCCACTCGATAAGAAGAGAAAGACTGGTCCTACCAATGATTCATTCATGCGATCAAAGAAAATCTCAGAATCTGATGATCGACCTTCGAAACGACCCAGGGCAGAAGAGAAAGAGGGGAAAAGCACATCGACCACAAAATTACCACCAGCGACTAAAATTTCAAGAGTTAGGGACGAGGAAGTGGCTTTCCCAAGAGGTGGCGCAAGTGTATTGACTCCATTGGAACATAAACAAATCCAGATTGATGCCACCAGAGATGTTCTATTTGAACAATATGGTGCTAAATCTTCCAAACCTGACGGGGAAGATCAAGAGGGAGGAGATACTACAAAAGTAAGGAAGAAGGGAAAGGGTAAAGGCAAGAGCAAAAAGACAGCTCAGGATAGCGAAGTTGAAGAAGAGACTGTCAAAATTGAAGGATTGAGCTATAAGGTATGTGTTGCAAACCACTTGATACTATAGGTGGCGGCGGCTTACAATTCGCAGAGACTAGTATCGGGCTCTTTAGTTCTTGGCCAGGTGTCCCAGATCAATGCTACAGACATTGCTATATCACTGCCAAATAATCTGACGGGCTATGTACCCATCACTTCGATCTCGGACAAAGTTACAGAACGGATTGAGGCGATCGCAGCCGCAGAGGAAGATGATGCAGATGACGAACCTGAGGTGGAGGATATTGACTTGAAGAAAATCTTTTCCATGGGGCAATACCTAAGAGCATACGTTGTTTCTACCAGCGACGATACAAATACAGCCACACTAGGAAAAGGAAAACGAAGAATCGAATTATCCCTTCGACCACAACATGCCAACAATGGCGTCACTCCACAAAATCTCATCACCAATACCACTTTGATGGCATCTGTCACAAGCGTCGAAGATCACGGTTTAATTATGAACATTGGACTTGAAGATTCTGGTATTCGTGGTTTCATGGGCGCAAAAGACATTGGCTACGAAGTAGTGTTGGCTGATGTGCAAGAAGGCGCAGTGTTTTTGTGCATGGTCACTGGTCTGAGCTCTAACGGGAAGACTGTCAAACTATGCGCAGACACTCAGAAGATTGGCAATGTGAAGAAATCGAACTATCTCACAGATGCTCCAACAGTTGATGCCTTCCTCCCAGGAACTGCAGTCGAGACCTTGATCGTTGATGTCAGCTCCCGGGGCCTTACTGGAAAGGTCATGGGTATGGTTGATGTTACTGCAGATTTGATGCATTCTGGAACCAGTGTTATGAACCAGGAGCTAGAAAAGAAATTCAAGATTGGTGCCAAGGTTAGAGGTAGAGTTATTTGCACCTTTCCAAATTCGGATCCTCAAAAACTTGGTATCTCTCTCCTTGACCATGTTACGTCTTTGTCGCAGCAGCAAGCGGGAAAACCTGGAAACAAAGTAAATCCACTTGACACCCTACCTTTGTCTACCATCGTCGAAGAAGTCACAATCAAGAAAGTCGAGTCTGGAGTCGGTCTTTTTGTCGATGTGGGAGTCAAAGGGATTCCTGGGTTCGTTCACATCTCTAGAGTCAAGGACGGCAAGATAGAGACATTGGAAGAAACAACGGGACCATATAAGGTAGGCTCGGTCCACCGTGGTCGTGTCCTTGGTTACAATTCTCTAGATGGTGTATACCTCATTTCTTTGGAGAAAAGTGTTCTGGAACAGCCTTACTTGCGAATTGAAGATTTGAAGATTGGAGAGGTTGTAAAGGGAAAGGTTGAAAAGCTCATTGTTAATGACAAAGGTGTCGGCGGACTACTGGTTAATTTGGCCGAAAACATTTCTGGTCTTGTTCCAGAAACTCACCTGGCAGATATACAATTGCTTCACCCCGAAAAGAAATTCAAGGAAGGAATGGCTGTCACGGCACGTGTTCTCTCTACAGACCCTGGAAAACGACAAATTCGATTAACTCTCAAGAAGACACTCGTCAATTCGGAGTCACCTGCTCTGATCTCGTATGATGACATAACTGTTGGGATGCAAAGTCCTGGTACTATTGTAAATATTTTGAAAACTGGTGCGGTAGTTCAATTTTACGGCACTGTCCGAGGGTTTTTGCCAGTCTCAGAAATGAGCGAGGCCTACATACAGGACCCTAACCAACATTTCAAAATTGGGCAAGTCGTCAACGTTCATGTTTTGAAGGTCGACCCCGAGGCCAAGAAATTGACTGTTTCTTGCAAAGATCCTTCCGTCTTTGGACTGGCACAGCAGAATGCGTTGAAGAATCTCAAAATTGGCGAGATTGTGTCCGCTCTTGTTATAGAAAAGTCGAACGACGACATTTCTGTCGAGATTCAAGCACTTGGGTTGAAAGCACTACTACCTGTCGGTCAGCTTACTGATGGATCTGAGAACAAGAGCCGTTCTTCGTTCAAGAACATTCGTGTTGGCCAAGTATTGTCAGACCTTGCTGTACTAGACAAGCTTGAGCAAAAGCGTTTGATCGTCCTAACGAATAAACCTGCACTTGTCAAGGCCGCCCAGAATAAGACTTTACTGAGGATGTTCGATGACGTCAAGGAGAAGAAGACAGTGCATGGATTTGTTAAAAATATAACATTAACAGCAGTCTTTGTGCAATTTGGAGGCGGTCTTACAGGGCTTTTGCCTAAGAACAAGATACCCGAGAAGAACCTTCGTTTACCAGACTTTGGATTTAAGAAATACCAAACAGTAGAGGTCAAGGTTCTCACTGTCGACCATGGCCAACGAAGATTTCTTTTATCTATGGCTGATGCTACTTCCGACAAAAAGTCGAATGAGCCTTTAGCCCCTGGTACCAATCTAGAAGCTGTAAACCCTATCGATGAAACTATCAAGAGTATTGACGACATTACACTTGGTCGCCTTACGAAGGCAAGGGTGTCGTCTGTTAAGGATACCCAAGTAAATGTTCAACTTGCTGATAACATCCAAGGCCGAATTGATGTGTCACAAGCCTTTGACTCTTGGTCGGAGATAAAATCCAAGAAGCAGCCTCTCAAGTCATTCTCGCCGAAGCAAATTGTCGACGTTCGTGTTTTAGGAATACACGATGCGCGTAACCATCGCTTCCTGCCTATCAGTCACAGATCTGGCAAGACTTTAGTCTTTGAACTATCCGCTAAGCCTAGTGATCAAACTGAGTCTGCACAAGACCCTGTATCTTTGGACAAAATTGAGGTTGGCTCTTCTTGGTTAGCATTCGTCAATAATGTTGGAGCTGATTGCCTATGGGTAAATCTATCTCCCAATGTGCGTGGCCGAATCAGCGCTCTAGATGTATCAGATGATGTATCATTACTCAAAGACCTAGCAGCAAACTTTCCCGTTGGATCTGCCATTCGGGTTCACGTCAAGAGCGTTGATGTTGAAACAAACCGTCTAGACCTGTCTGCCCGCTCTAGTCAAGATTCTGAAGCCCTTGCCTTTGATAAGTTAAGCCAAGGCATGATCGTACCAGGAAAAGTAACCAGAGTCAATGAAAGACAGGTCATGGTACAGCTTACTGATAGCATCTCTGCACCATTAAACCTTACAGACCTCTGCGACGACTATTCAGAAGCTGATCCTTCCAAATACTCTAAGAATGATATTGTTCGTGTTTGCGTTACTGATATCGATGTTCCAAACAAACGCGTTCGATTATCGACTAGAGCATCCAGAGTGATGAACTCATCAGCAGCAGTTCAAGATCCAGAAATCTCATCCATTTCACAACTGAAAGTAAACGACATTGTGCGTGGATTTGTCAAACACGTTGCTGACAAGGGGCTGTTTGTCAACTTGGGGGGTAATGTGACAGCGTATGTTCGAATTTCAGACCTTTCGGACTCTTATATCAAAGACTGGAAATCGGAATTCCAGGTTGACCAACTAGTCAGAGGCAAAGTCACAGTTGTCGACGAAGTCTTGAACCATGTTCAATTGAGTCTCAAGCCTTCTGTTATCGACAAAGATTACGTTGCGCCTTTGACCTTCAATGATATTCAAGTGAACCAAGTTATTACCGGAAAAATTCGTAAAGTCGAGGATTTTGGTGTCTTTATCGTTGTCGATGGCTCTGCAAATGTGAGCGGCCTTTGTCACCAGAGTGAAATGGCCGAAAAGCGTGTCCACGACGTCAGAAAGTTGTACTCTGAAGGTGATGCAGTCAAAGCGATTGTATTGAAGATGGACAACGAGAAGAAACGCATTAGTTTCTCTATGAAAGCTTCACACTTTGAGGACGGAAATGAGTCTGACGATGAGAGTGATGGTGACGGTGTGGATGGCGTCAAGCTTGACAGTATGGACATCGATGATGATGATGATGATGATGATGACGACAATGAAGGCGGCATTGACCTTGATGATGTGCAAGATCTTGAGAGCGCCGCAGAGGACGGAGATGAAGCCTCGGACTCTGACGAGGAAATGCCTGATGCTGAAGGCGATGTCCCAGCTCTTAGCGCCGGCGGATTTGATTGGTCTGCTGATCTGCTGGACCAAGCTGATGGCCAATCCAATGCAGATTCCGATGACGAAGCCACTGAAGAGAAACCTAAAAAGAAGAAGAGGAAGGCGGAAATTAAGGTTGATAGAACAGGTGACCTTGATGCCAACGGACCTCAATCTGTCAGTGACTTCGAGCGTATCCTTTTGGGTCAACCAGACTCTTCCAGTCTCTGGACCCAGTACATGGCTTTCCAGATGCAACTCAGTGAGCTAGGCAAGGCCAGAGAGATTGCTGAGCGTGCCATCAAAACTATCAACATGCGCGAGGAAACTGAGAAGCTTAATATCTGGCTCGCTCTCCTCAATTTGGAGATCGCATATGGAAGTGATGAAACTGTTGAAGCTGTGTTTAAGCGAGCTTGTCAGTACAACGATGCCCAAGAGGTTCACGAGAGACTGGCTAGTATCTATATTCAATCTGGCAAAACCAAGGTAAGGGATACTTCCATATAATCTCAAATACAAGCTAACAGCCATACAGAAAGCCGATGAACTTTTCCAAGCTCTCACCAAGAAATTCTCACAATCTCCCACCGTTTGGGTCAATTATGCACACTTTCTTTTCAATACTCTCGGGGCCCCTGATCGTGGTCGTGCTCTCCTTCCACGTGCAACTCAATCTCTACCTCCACATACCCATCTTCCCTTGACGCTCAAATTTGCAGCTCTAGAGTTCCGCTCCGAGCACGGCTCTCCGGAACGTGGACGCACAATCTTCGAGGGTGTTTTGGCAAAATGGAGTAAGCGATTGGATATTTGGGGCCAGCTTCTGGATCTGGAAATCAAGGCAGGTGATAAGAGCATTGTCAGGGGTGTGTTTGAACGAGTAGCTCGAATCAAGGGACTGAAACCTAAGGGCGCGATGGGATGGTTCAAAAGATGGACCGAGTGGGAGGAAGCTAATGGTGACAAAAAGTCACAAGAGAAAGTAAGAGCGATCGCTGAGGAGTGGGTAAGAAATAGGTCTGGGAAGAAGGATGATGAGGAGTGATGGTCATCACGGTAAACCAGAAGATACCAAAAAAGCTTTGTATGGGCAATAAATTCTGATTGGGAAGGAAATGAACGGCGTAATGTAAATGTAGCACTAAATCAATTAAATTTCGTTTGTTAAAATAAATCACATGCTGTATTCGATAGTTTTCACAAACAGACAATGCAGGCTACAAATAACTCAATGCTAAAATTTCACGTAGCCGATGATTCTTTTTCAATGGTGTAAAGAAGCTAGACAGGAAGCTAATGATTCTTTTCAGCTGTTCCTTGAAGCTTTCCAGTCTCGTTGCTCTGCTGTTCTCGCAAAGCCTGCAGACTTTCGTCTAGAATTGCAATCTCCGCATCAACCTTTAACAGTCTTTCCTTCAACATTCCTTCATACTCGTCATCAGATAATTTTTTCCACGGCACCCATTTCGAGTTCATCCAATCGTCTCCACTATTTCTATTCCTACCTTCCTCTAACCTCAACTCCTCCATCTTTCTCTCGTCCACAGCATCGTAGATCTTTTGTCCCACATATCCAGCGGCTCCAAAAACGACAAACCCAGGCAGAATATTCTTCGGGCCGCGTAGTATACCTCCAGTAGCGCCAGCAAGAGAAGCGGCCAGAGAAGTTGAAAGCGCTTTCTCTTGCGGCGTCGGGTGTATAGACGCGGTCCTATAACGGGAAAGAAGGGCAGTGCGGGTTCCCCAGAAGGTGGTACCAAGAATGCCCCATTGAATAGAACTGGCGACGGCGAAGAGAACTGGAGTTTGAGACACGAGGATACCAGAAAATCCACCAATTATAGTGCCAGAAAGTGCTGAGGGTGCTTGTTAGCTTTGATAGTATCAGAAGATTGGTAAGGTGACATAATTGATGTGTATAATGTGTGAGGGGATAGGCGAGTTGTGTGAAGATTTACACGTGATAATGAGTCGAAAGTGTTGCTGGGCGTGCAAAGATTTCTGTTTCTACCAACAGGAGATAGGGATTGATTGACCGAGACTAGGACATACCAGAAAGGCCACCAAATTGAAGAGCAGGCTTTATAATATCCATCAACTCAGGAGGCAAATCACCCGATTTGGGGCCTTGGGGTTGATTGGTGGGAGCCATTGAGGGAGAAGAATGTTCCTTTGCTCTAGGAGTTGTCATGTCGTCTCTTATTCTCCGAAGGGAACAAGAGTTTGGCTGCATGATACTGGTATGTGAGCTTCTGAGATATATATCATGATACTATTCCAAGTCTGATGCTCGACTTGTCAATCGACCAACATAGAATTGGTATAGATGACCTCCAGTCTCGAATGCATGTTTGAATTGAAGAGGATGAATATAAACTTCACCTACATATTTACTTTGCAAGGTCGTGTATTTATCTGGCTGAGATATCAAAACTGCGTATGCGTACCTACTAGTACCTGCCTGGGTACCTAGTATGTATATACGAGACGGGATTTATATCTAGCAGGTACTTGACTATTTTAAACTATCCAATGAGAGATGAGTTCCTCCTTGGTAAATTCAAACTTTCAAAAATATGAATTAACTGTTAAATATGAATATAAATGTAATCATTTATACAATTTTGATAAAAAATTCCATATCATTGAACAAACGCAAATTCACTAATACAGCACTAGTGAAAGAATTTGCCCCACTAGTTTCGCACAACCCTTGTCAAACTTCGCACTTTTAATAATTCTTCCATTTTGGAATCTAAACCCACCACGAAGAACCTCGACCTCTTCCTACCGATACACAAAAAGATATTCGACGAGCCTCGAATATCCCAAGGAATACCTAAACCTTAAATACATACGATCGATTGAAGGGACTTCGTAGTACCTTCAATACTCTGTCTCGGACAACGCGCAAACACTTTTGCGCAGCGTCCTAAGAAAAAAACCGCAATCATGGGTAAGCGCTCCCCCTCACTAACCTTTCATCGACTATCGCGACCATGATACTGTCGGTGTGGGTCTTTTAAACATTGAGTATATGATAGCTAATTGTAGTTGTGCCATAGCTCCTAAGAAGAAGGAACAGCAGAAGATGTCCCTCGGGACCTTCTTGGCTGACGAGAGTATGAAAACACCTACTGTTCTCGCACAATAATCTTTTTCATACTAACATCGATGTAGAGTTGGGATCATGGGCCGATGAGATGGAGGATATGCCAGTTTGTAAGTTGTTCTATTCCTATATCGATATGGAGCCTTGCTAATTTTCATCTATCACAGCCGGTATGTGAACACAAACGCACATTGATCGTGGCCAATTTCGCAAAAATATGAATACTGATTCTTGTAGACTCACGCCCTTCTGGATATGGTGGAAGCAGTAATGAGAGACGTACCTATAGCTCTACCACTGGTACTTATGGCAACAATGCCGGAGGTAAACCTCCCATCTCCTTCCTTCAAATCACTCTTTTCAATGGAATTCTAGTTCTGACTTTCAATAGGTTATTCCGTTCGCGAGGAACTCCCTCTTCCCGACAAGCCACCTTACACTGTTCATCTTGGAAACCTTTCATTTGATGCTACCGTCGGCGATGTTAACGAATTTTTCGTCGGATGCGAATGTATCAACGTTCGCATCATTGAGGATAAGATGGAGATGAAACCGAAGGGATTCGGATATGCAGAATTCGGCTCTTTGGAAGGTCTCAAGTCCGCCCTGACTTTGAACCAGACTCAGTTCCAAGGACGTAACATTAGAATCAGTGTTGCTGATCCTCGTAAGTTTGATACACTTCGTACTTGCGCTATCCACTAATATATGTTACAGCGAAGGATCGTGGTGACCGTCCAGATGTACGAGAGCTCGGAGACTGGAGTAGAAAGGGACCCCTACCTGATTTACCGGGCCGTGGAGGAGAGCGTCGCCCTTCGGATCGAGGATACCAATCTAGCCGTTTTGGCGAGGAAGGTGGCGAGCGTAGAGCCCCCCGTGAGCCCGAAAGTGATGGCAAGGTTCGAGACTTTGGAAACTGGGAACGAAAGGGTCCACTCTCACCCCTCGCCCAACAGGAACGTGCTCCAAGAGAAGGTGGCCGACCCCGAACAAACGATGGACCAAGAGCCGAAGGCTTCAGAGACCGCAAAGCTTCGCCAGCTGCTTGGGGTGAAGGTAGATCCCAAGGTCAAGGCTCTGGCTCGCAAGAAGGATCAAGACCACCCAGACGTGAGTTCCAAGAGCGACCCGTCGCCGAGCGTGCGCCCACCGCCGCCGATCAAGACAACCAATGGCGTAGCAAAATGCGACCCGACCCACCAGCTGCACCAGCTGCAAAGTCACCTGTTCTATCCCGTGAAGGGAGCGAGGCCCCAGCTTCTCCAGCCCTTCCATCTGCCCCTGCTGGCGGTAGACCAAGATTGAACCTTGCAAAGCGCACTGTTTCCGAGGCCCCTGCTGACTCATCCTCGTCATCTGCCGCAGGTGATGCGAAGGCAAGCCCATTTGGAGCTGCTCGTCCAATTGATACTGCCGCGAAGGAGAAGGAAATCGAGGAGAAGCGACAACAAGCCATCAAAGAGAAAAAGGAGGCCGATGAAAAGGCCAAGCAGGAGAGGGAGGCTGCAAAGGCTAAGGAAACTGAAGACAACGAGAAGAAGGCTGAAGTTACACAACGTGAAGGCGAAGAAGCAACAAAGGAAGGAGAGACAATTGAAACTGAGAATGCCAACGGCGAGATCGTTGACGATAAGGCTGTCAAGCCAAAAGAGATTGTCAGAGATGCCAAACCAAAGCCATCTGACACCGGGGCTTGGAGACGTCCATCTGGACCTAAACCACCCAGGGATGATATTCCAAGAGGGCCTAGGGGTAGGGGTGATTACGCACCAAGAGGCCCAAGACACAATGATGGAGGAAGGAACCACAGACAAAATCCAAATGGTGGTGGACAAAATGCGACTGCACCAGCCCAAAGCCCTGTTGCTACAACTGAAACTGCAGTCATGGAAGAGGATGGCTGGAGCACAGTGTCTAAACCCAAGAAAAACAACCGTGGTGGTAACGCAGGCCAACGTGCTATTGCTTCTTAGATAACAGATTTTGAGAGGCGTCATGTTTCCAATGAAACATTGGCAAACCGGGCAAGCATTCTCGGTACACTGAGCATAGTTTTGACTTCACTGCTCATACATGGCAAAAAGATTAATTTTCTGACCCTCAATTCTCAAAACGATTTCCTTCGGCGTTGGATTCACATAAATCTTTGTGCCTAGATTTTCATTATGCCCATGTTTAGCCTCACCGGCCCAGAACAATATCACAGACGTACAACATACACGAAGTTTTTCTGGAATTTACTCTACTTTGCTATACTAGTAAAATCTAGATTGAATATGGGCGGTCTTTACACCAATGTTATCTACCTCTTTGGGGCGGCGCATGGTGTTATTGACTGACATGTTAGACTATTTGTCATATCATACACTTGGGTCTGCTTGGGTCTGTTGTGTGTTGTTTCAATGGTCTGCTCTCCTGTTTTCCAAAAAGTAAGCCTGGGCATACAAAAGTTATCTATCTTTGAGGAATAATGAACAATCCTCACTCTCACATTCCCAATGTTTTTTTATAGAGCCAATTGCATGCTATCATCCTATTATACTCTGACTGCAATCATGGATTCATCTCTCTCGAGGCCTCCATCAGTAACAAGAATTATTTGAATGATAACGTGATATGAGATGGTCATGATTCCAAAACGATTGGGGTTTTTCTTTCTGTTTTCTGCTGAGTCTTGTGTCTGTGTTTGCACCTGTGAAATTATTCTTGTATATTACTTGGGAATGAAATAACAAAAGAGATTTACCAATGTCATTTTCGAATGTTCAATGTGAAGAACCAACAGAATTTAAACGAGATCTAGCAAATGAACTATCTGCTAACTACCTATGTATATCACAAATTAATCAACAAATGAAAGTGTTGTCTCCATTCTATGACATTAGCATCTTTCTCTTGCTGGGTATACTGTTCGATTCTACTACTCTTTATATATTTATATACTCGAATCAGACAGTCTAGATGTCAAATAATGGTAATGATATGCACATTTCCTTTGCGAGAACTCACATATAAATCTCTGCTCTCTTGAAAGTTTTCTTCTTCTTGATATTTCCTTGATTAATAGATAACTTTGGAGAGCAATGAGAAAGACATTGTACAGTACTTTTTTGTCAAGTGTTATCCAGTGTTATCCGGGATAGAGTTATCCCGAATTTATTTCCACTCATTCCAGAACAATCTCTTAACAATCCCTTAAAAAGTCCCTTAACGGGAGCTAAAGATGTCTAGTACACAGTAGGTCAGGTCCATGATCAGTCCACAGTCGGGTCAGTCCTCAGTCAGTCTATGAAAAGTATGTCTTGTATTCTCAATTCCTACAAATTTCAATTTTCCATAATACATTGACTGATCCTTTCATCATCATAAATGTGTAGGAAAGCACATATTGGCACGAACAAAATTCATCTTCTTCTATTGCATGTTTGTTTGTCTGTTTGTTTGTAATTCATACTTACAAACATCACGAATTATCATTGTGAACTCTAAACTCTATTTGTTGGAATTTAGACACGTGATTAACACTAGTGTAGATCTCTGCATACAACAGCCTTTTGAGTCGTGCCTGCCTGCAAGTCTTTATTATTAGTCTTCAATAAATTTACTCTTTCAAGAGATATACACTGCATGCGATACCTGCTTCAACTTTTACACCACCCAGCATTTATACCCATCTTAGAATTACCTGCAAAAACGTATTTTAATCTATTATTTTGTATTTAGCAAATATTTGTGCATTTGTTTACTCTCGATCATATTCTCAAAATCTGCAGGAATGAGCTTGAACTTTGGACTGACGAACATTAAACCTGTGGCGCCAAAATTTAAATCCGAAAAAGTTCCAAAACAGAGGCCGACTCTATCTAGTAGGACATCCAGTAATGGCCTTCGAATTGGGACACCTGTATCAAAAGTCACTGATGCTCGTGGCAGACTAGCCGTCCCAAGCCCTCCTCCCGAGGCAGGAAAGAAAAGGAAAGAGAGAGAAATCAGCGGAAGCCGTAACACCAAGAAAAGCACAACTTTAACTCTTCGAAAAAGCCCGAGTCAACAGCCGTTGACGAGTGATAGCGAGGAAGATGAAGAAGTGGTCGTGTCTTCCAAACGGGCCAAGCCGGAAAACATTGAGCCCGATTTGAAGAGGAATCTGAAGGACAAAAAAGCCTTTTCGACCGAATCCGATAATACGCAAGGCTCTACCTGCAGAATGATACACGCGGCCGATGTCATGATGACGAAACGCACGGCTAAGAGCGGCGAGAAGGTTTGCGATAGAAAGAAGGAAGAGGGCGATGCGGTCCTTCTAAGATATCCCAGTGTCAGTCGGAGAGAAAGGTAATGTCTACTCAATCCAACTCCTAAAGTCTGAAGTTAAACCCAGCTAATCAATGCCGTCACTAAAGATACCAACTCATCTCCGAAGGCGAGGTTATCGATCCCGCAGGAGAAGATTTGATCAACCCTTACGACGAAATACCGAAAATCGTGGAAATTGTCAAGGATGAATATTTGACTGAGGAGCAAGCAGCGGAGTTCACCCATCCAGAAACAGGCATAATTCGGAAAATCAACAAAGCGACGAACAATATTACTTGGACTCTGTCCACCACAAAAAAGCCCCACGACAAAGAGAAAATGAAGGGGCTGCTGCTTGAGTTCAGGAATGCTGTGGGGGCTTACAATGACGCGCTCAGCACTCTCACCAAAAATGGATCGCTGGCAAAAAACTTAGAAAACAAGCATTCACTGTCAACTAAGCTTCTCAAAATGGTTCTCCAGCAAGTTTACGACCGAGCAGTGTCTCCTCAAGTTGACTTGACTAATAAATACCAAAATGGCACTGATTATGTTTATGGCGAGCTCACATTCCCGTTCATATCTCGAATACTCAGGGAAGACACTCGGATGAAATCAGATCAAGTTTTCATAGATCTTGGTTCGGGAGTAGGAAATGTCGTCGTGCATGCCGCGCTACAAGTTGGTTGCGAAAGTTGGGGTTGCGAAATAATGCCTAACTGCTGTAAGCTGGCTTCCTTACAACAGACAGAATTTTCTGCACGTTGCAGGGCTTGGGGCCTCAGCGCCGGTTCGGTCAACCTCGAGGAAGGAAACTTTTTGAATAACGAAAACATTCTCAAAGTGATGAAGAGAGCTGACGTTATCTTGGTTAACAATCAAGTCTTCGCACCTGCTTTGAACCAAAGTCTTGTGAACTTATTTTTGGATCTAAAAGAGGGCTGCAAGATTGTGAGTTTGAAAACTTTCGTGCCGGATGGTCATGTCATAAATTCTTACAATGAACACAATCCCATCAATTTATTGCGAGTCGAAAAGAAGACTTACGCGGAAGGGGATGTTAGTTGGCATTCCAATGGGGGTGACTACTACGTTGCTACGAAGGACAGCACTATCGTGGCTAACTATCACAAGACCCCAAAGGATAGAAAGACACGGGGGGGTCGGGTTAGATGATTTGTGAATTTGAATATACGGTTTCCTTGCATAGTTGATACCATTGGGCAGGTTATTATTGGGTATTTGAGTACAAAGCGATATCACAGCGAGTCGGCATAGAGTAGATGTATGGATAAATGAATGTATTTGTAACAACAACCATCATAACTTTATGTTTTATCCTTCTCGGTGATTTTAAAACGTAGTGTGATGAGCTTGATCCAATCATCAGTTTCTTGCATCAGGTCCCAAACTTTTTGTTCATTTCATCTGCCTCCTTTCCTTTTTGAGCCATCCACCTGTCAATCAACTCTTTATTCTCCGCTTTTGCTCTTTTCTCATTCTGCTCTGCTATATTGAGCTGCAAATTCAGAGATATCATCTCATCTTGCACATCATGAAACCCCTTAGTCTTAGCTCGCAACTCCTCATCTCGATCCCTAATCTTCCTCTCCAGAATGCTTCGTTCTCGAGTTAAAGTTTCTAACTGTTTGGACACTGAAGCACTTTTGGTGCGCAAAGCCTGAAGTGAAGTTTCGGTGATCTTCAAACGTGATTGGAAGTGCGAAGAGGAACGGAGTGCTTCGGATAAGGAAGCGCGGAGCTGAAGGACCTCGGAAGAGGTTAAAGATTGAGTTTGGATTGCATTTTTGGAGATTGCTTTTTGAGATGTGGCGGAAGAAGAGAGGGATGAGGGTTTGGCGGAGGTAGATGAGGTGTCGTTAACAGCTGCAGCTGCAGTTTGAGCAGAGACTTTGTCGAGCAGCTGAGTATCTTTTGCAGGTTATTAGAATTTAGACAAAAGTTCATTTCAGAAGGGGTGCCGTACAAGCGTCTATGAAAGAAGGATCAAAGCGCTGGTAGCTGGTTTGTTCGCGCTCATCGCGATCTCGTAAAGCTTTTATATAATCATCGCGCCAGGAAGCCATTGTTTCGTTCTCTTGGTTGCTGACGTGCAAGTTGAGGTTTCATTGCTTTGGAAATCCAGGTAGTTATTCTTCAATAATCAATCATAGAATGCGATCTCTTTCTACCTATAGTAGAGTTCCACGAATAGTTGAATTTATGAGTATTAAGAGTTATTGAAGAAAATTTTAGCCTGATAGTTTCATGTACGAGAATCTGCAAGTGAATGGATATATAAGGAAGTTCTCTTATGCAGTATGCATGTGTGAATGTGTGCTGGTATTGTGGATGAGCTGTAGCCTCTTGTAGTGGGATAGATCTCGATAAGCAAATACTGATAGGACCAAGCGGCCGGCGCTAGCGGGTTTCCGATGGATGGCTGGATAGCTGAATGGCTGGATGGGGCAATTTAATGAAGAGGCACGAGGCACGAGGCAAGCACTAAAGCTTAAAGTTACCGATGTAATGTTCCTCCTCTTCAATTAACCAAACTTATATTAAGTATTACATCAATACATACATAACCCGAATTCTTCATAGGAAAAAAGAATTCTTTTCATCACGACCGAAACTACTCTCCATTCTACGTGCTTACGCTCCTTTTTTGTTCAAGAAAGAGATCGAGGAAAGGGAGAAAGTTGGCGCTTCGTGAGGAAGATTACGATCAAGCACAAGCTAGGCAAAGATGGCTTCACGCAAGAAGGTTTTATTGAAGGTAAGGACTGATGTTGAGGATCTGATGAGTAGTTTGGTGCTGATCTGAGATCCGCAGGTTATTATTCTCGGCGATAGCGGTGTAGGAAAGACGAGTTTGATGAACCAATATGTACGTTGAATACCTACCGAGTGTCTTTCAATCGCGACGTATACGCCGACACTAGAGACTGATACTGGATCAGGTCAACAAGAAATTCAGTGCAAGCTACAAGGCGACTATCGGGGCGGATTTCTTGACAAAGGAGGTCCTAGTCGATGATCGATTAGTTACTATGCAGGTGAGGATTTCACGCTTTTTATGGCAGCTGGGACTTGGTAACTAATGATTGGATATAGCTTTGGGATACAGCAGGTCAGGAACGTTTCCAATCGTTAGGGGTCGCATTCTACAGAGGAGCGGATTGCTGTGTCCTTGTCTACGACGTGAACAATTCAAAGAGTTTCGACACATTGGATAGTTGGAGGGATGAATTCCTGATCCAGGCCTCGCCCAGAGATCCAGAAAGCTTTCCGTTTGTAAGCTGGACAGTTTTACGGAATCCGATATGACACTGACAGTTGCGTAGGTCGTTCTAGGCAACAAGATCGATGTCGAAGAAAACAAGAGAGTGGTAAGTTTAGCACTGGAACGATTGTATAGTGTCTTTGCTAATCGTGGTTCAGATTTCCTCAAAACGGGCTATGACTTTCTGTACTTCCAAGGGCAATATTCCATATTTCGAAACAAGTGCCAAGGAGGCCATCAATGTCGAGCAAGCCTTTGAAGGTAAATCACTTTTAAGTTCGTCAAATAGATACCAGCTAATTCCAATCTAGTTATTGCAAGAAATGCTCTAGCACAGGAGGAATCGGAAGAATATAACGGAGATTACTCAGATCCAATCAACATCCATATCGAGAACGATAGAGATGGTTGTGCCTGCTAAATGGCACTTGGTGGGGGTCGAGAATCATTGGTCTCATTTTCTCTCTTTCTACCCTGCCCTTTCGACCACTGAGGGAATTATACTGGAAGTCTTGATGAGAAGGTCGTCAACTGTACATAGGGATCATTCTGGCGCTATTGGGTCTGCGATTTTCTTATTTCCTTGATGATACAGAACGCATAATGAGAAAGACGGGTTTATAGTTCTGCAATGGAAGCATCTTTGAATGAACCATAATGTTGCATTAGAGCAAGTAGTTATCCGTGATAGATGTGAGCCTTGGACAGAGTAGTGCAACATAAATTGACATTGAAACAAAGTTACCATTGGGCCCCCTTCAAACCCCATTCTCTTGGATAAAGTTTGGTTTGATAACGATTAGCGCATAGAACTACATATCTGCGTACATATAAGCTAGCGATAAAGGGCTATTTCGAAATTCTTTTCCTCAAATGAGAATGTCTTGGTCTTAGGTACAGTAATGTAAGTCTTCACTTGGCGTGGCTTTCACTTGATAATTTGTTTCCCTCTCCTTTCTCAAAGTCCAACTAACAGAAGGATTGTTAATGATTGCGATCGCGTCCTCAATCCTTCGTGTTCCGAATTCACTACGACCTCATCTATATAGGGATCTCCCGCGCATCGAAGACGAACATCACATTCGCACTTTGATTATATCTACATGGCATCATAAGACCTATCATATTGTTAAATGCATCGATATATGTGCATGTGTCTACGACCTCCATGATCTTTTGGCATTCCAAACGAAACTCACATAATCGATCACATAATCAACATCCACATCGTTCGGATTTCAGTTGCATAGGTGGGATATAGATAAGATAAAAGGCGTTAAAGAACGAGATCTCGGAAGTTAATCCAAGAACGACGGCGCAATCAGTTCAACTCGGCGCGATGAGTCCGTCAACGGATTCTGCTACAATGCAGACACATACTCAGAGAGTGTCGCTGGAAAGGACGATCACAGGCACAAGTGCAACTGCCAGCACTGGTAGCAAGAATTTGGGATTTAGAGCCGGAGTGGGCCTGGAGAATGTAGCGCGCAGGACTCTGGGGATGGTGTTATTGGGAGTTACTGTGATGTTGTGGACGAGTAGTAATTTTCTTGCTAGTGTGAGTATGCTTCTCATTTGGCAAGCTTAGTATATTAAGCTGGAAAACTATCGGGGAATTCGAATGCCCAATACTAACACTGAGAACAATAGTACATATTCGCCGATAACACCTATTCGAAACCATATTTTGTTACATATATCAACACATCATTCTTTGCTGTATCATTGATCCCTATATTTCTACGAATATCGAGAGAGCATGGCTGGTCACATGTGAAGGATTCAGCTGTGGACTACTATCATGACCAATTATCAGAATACCGCACCGGACTCCAGAATCTCCGCAAAGGATGGCATCGCCGAGGATCCAGTCGAGAAGACCAAGAGTACGATTCTATGAGCGCTTCTCATTCCCGTCTCCTAGACTCTGCCGACGACCTTGACACAGATCTACCACAGCCACAAGAACAAGAGAAGGAAGATAGATTAAGTGTATCTGAGACGGCAAAACTTTCTCTCGAGTTCTCTCTTCTTTGGTTCATAGCCAATTATCTCGTAGCCGGCTGTCTCGAATACACATCCGTGGCCTCCTCCACAATCTTGACCTCCACTTCCTCAATCTTCACCCTCCTCTTTGGGGCGCTTGTTCGTGTCGAATCTTTCACCGTCCGCAAACTTCTCGGTGTTCTGGCTTCCTTCGCAGGCATCATCCTCATTTCCTCCGTCGATCTAGGGAGTACGGATAATGACTCAAACCGTGGGAGCTTTCCCCACAAATCTCAAGCGCAAATTGCGGTTGGCGACATCATGGCTTTTGGAAGCGCGGTGATGTATGGGCTGTATGCAGTAGTGATGAAAAAGCGCTGTGGCAACGAAGATCGGGTCGATATGCCGCTATTCTTTGGGCTCGTTGGATTTTTCAATGTTGTTTTTCTCTGGCCCGGTTTCTTCATTTTGCATTTCAGCGGCGTGGAAACATTCGAGCTACCACCCACTGGCAAGATCTGGCTCATAGTATTACTGAATTCTTTAAGCAGTTTTATAAGCGACTATTGCTGGGCGTATGCGATGTTGTTGACAACGCCATTGGTAGTGACTGTAGGCTTGAGTATGACGATCCCGTTGAGTTTGGTGGGCCAGATGTGGTTGAATGATCAGACAAGCACTGCAGTGTATTGGGTGGGTGCATTGGTTGTCGTGGGAAGTTTTGTTTTTGTTAATCATGAGAGCAAGGATGAGGAGAAGGGGGAGCCAGGAGATGAAAGAATCATACCTATCGTGATTGTTGTGGATCACGATGAGAGAAGAGATGAAGTGGTTTAGATCTCTAGAGTCAAGGAAGATAGACTTGGAGTTTGGTTTCGAATTGGGATACATTCTAATGTTCTTGGAGGGACATACTGGGGTCCACTTCAGTGCCTGGTTATTGGATTCATTTTTTAAGACTGCATCTAAATCTATAAACAATTTCTATATCATTGTCATGTTGAAGAATCGTACTGAAAAGAGTGAGCTTTGTCTCGTTGCCCTGTCATCCACCTGGGCTTGACATTTGCAGTGAGCGCCAATTGGCACTCACACTCAGGTACCATCTCGTCCACCAGAATAATATTTGTGGGATATCATCATATCCAATGCCGTAAAACCCAAATAAAACTCATCATCAACTCCAATCATGGTAGTGTGATGTATACTAATCATTAACCCATCTGGAGCAACTAATATCCTAAACGCCTTGAATGGTATCTAACGCAAAATTCTCTCATAAGGTTACCCGAACCCATCTTTTGTTCCTAATTGTTTCTCCCATCCTTACAATTAACGTGCACGACTTTGTGTTTCGGAGATGAATTTCCTCCTTCAATAACTACAGCTGTAAGCTTGCCGCCTTTCAAACACCCCGTGTCCAAACCCATGCTGTATTTCTCTAATTGGAGACCTCGCTTGGAGTCGTGACCGTAAATGACTGTAGTGCGTTCTTTCTTTGGTAGTTTTTTCTGATGCTTATTCCAGACCTATTGGTTTTGCGGTTAGACAAAATCGGAGAGAATTGCATGGTGGAATGTGAGTAGCTCTTACCTTGTTCCAATGTTTCCCATCTCTTTCGTCGCTAGGTACTCCGTCAATCAGGGTCCGCATATTCATCACCATAGATGGATCCTGTTTTTCCAATTCGACCCCGGGAGCTAGCCCAGCATGAACAACCACCACCTGCTCCATTCCATCCAAATGTCCTACTCTCAGAATTACAGGGCATTTCTTCAACCATTTGATTCTCTTCTCCCCCAGCGCCCTCACCAACGCTCGATCCTTGTAATCTCCATGATTGAAACTAACCTCCTCCAGCCCATCAACTACTTTCTCCGGATCTTCACTCGGGCCAGGTGCATCCATCTCCATCTCCTTATGCTGTGCTATCATATCGGCATGAGCGAGAATAATCCTATCCTCATGGTTTCCCCTCACGGCAGATGCTCCGATTTTCATGGCAAGATCTACCACGCCTGGAGAATCGGGTCCTTTGGATATCATATCGCCAGCTAATATCAAATGGTCGTGTTTCTCATCGAAGTTTACTTTGTCGAGTAAACTCACCAACGCATCTTTCATTCCATGCACATCGCCCACTATAATCAGGCGATTTGGTTTCCTGTGTTTGCCGGTCTGCGGTAGGTAATCCGAAGGTAGATTCATGAGATGTATCATATTTGTAAAAGCGGGTTGCGCATTCGTTCCATATTCGTGATGTATAACCTCTCCACTCTCCTCGTCCATTATTAAATTGGCATTAGATATGGAGCTTTGGCGGAAGTAAAGTGTATATGGGATCCAAGTGAATGTGAAGGCGAGTAGGAGATAAATAATTATATTTCTTTTCGAGCGCGCATTTTTCTTCTGGGGTCGCATCTCCAATGGAGGGCCAGTGGCGTGCATAGGTGGTGACGGCATTCGTAAGGATATGGCTGTGGTTGCCGGTGTGGTTACATATGACGTCCACAACACAGCTTGAATAAGCAACAGAAGAATAGAAGTTCTGGTTTGTTACTTTTAATCTTCTTTCAAACAAATGGGCATGGATCAGCAAACGGCCTGTTGATTAAGATGGAGTTTGAGACGGTTCCCCTTCCAAAAACTCACAATCACCTCTTTCGTTTTGATAATTCTCAGTGTCAATCAAAGTGCATTCATATCAGATCATATTATATTATATCGGTGAAAGACGAAGAAGATGAAGAAGCTGACGAGATGAGGATATACTTGGCTTGCTTCGCCAATACGGCAAAACGGCATCCCTATTCATGAACACCTTGATGTCTCATTATTCCTTCATAAACATAAGTGATTACTAGGTAGGTATGTACTGTACCTGGTAGTTCAAGCGGTGATATCTTTTTTCTCCGGCTCGGTACCGAATTTGATACCGCAACACACAGCGAAGATGGGGCACATGATGCAGGTTGGCGTAATAACCCGCCATTGCTAATTTGGAACTTCACATCAAAACGTTTCTAGTGTCACGATACACGTTGCGTACACCGGTATGTGTAGGACAACATTAGCACATTGATTACATTCCACGATGGTACTTGATTTCATGTAACATGGCAGACGAATTGCCCGAGTACAATTTCTTGGAAATGAAGAAGACCATTAATATGTATAATCTGATTCTTTCAACGGATAGAGTTGTGATTTCATCTGCGGACAAGGGTTCAGAAGTTGATCAGCATAATGAGGATGATGAGCATGATAAGGTCCTCGAGGGTTGTATTGAACCACACTTCTTGACTTTGATTGATAGACAGCATAATCTAATCCTATAGTAAACTCCGGGAAATAGTAGTATCGGTCGAAGTTCGCTTAAGATGTCAGCCCTCCCTGATTGCAGTGGTTTGAATGTTGGTATAAGGTTTGGAGATCGAAAGTATATATTTCCAAGTCGGTTCTTGTGCCTAAGTTTCAGCAGCTGTACCCAGGTCGGGCTTGTCAAAGTGTACCCATTCCATTTAGCTTTTATGGATAGTTCAAGAGGTCAAAACAAGGTTGAGCATCTACATGTTGACAATGTTCCATCTCCAGTCAGCTCTCAAAAATACTTTGAATATCTGTATGGGGGTTGGGTATCTAGTATAATGAGAGTGTGCCACTCTCAATCAAACCTTGTGGGTACTCTGATTGTCTGTCTAGAGGTTGTACATTCAAATCGGGGTCAACGCAGTTTCCGAGTGGAACTCGTGTAAATTATACTCTTGGACTTTGTTGTACGAAAATGATGCCGGTGCATTTTTGGGTCACAGGGTTCGAATTCATAAATTAAACTTGAGATTGAAAGACTATCCTACTTATAGCTGGTGTAGCTATCTAAATCAATCAAAAAAATATTGATTGTGCAAAATCAGAAGGGATATCAATCTCTTGACAAACTCTTTATAACACGTTCGTTCTGAGAAATCATTATTATCAAGAGCTCAAAACATATTAGCAAACAAATTGTTGAACTCCCGCCACGCTAATCCAGAATGATCGCAACAACATGAAGAAGATTTCGAAAGAGCGTTTTATGCGTCGTCCATATACCCGCCCTCGTCAACGTCGTCATCTTCTTCTCTTAAACTGTCGTCATCGTTGTGTTGTTGCTCCCCTTCCTCTTCGCTATCTTCTCCTTCATCTCTAATTTTAGCAGCCTTGCCAGTTCTAGTCTTCTTGCCTGGCACTTTCTCTGAGCTAGGACCGCCACCTTGGCTCATAATTCCCCCTGCAGCTCGCTTTGGGCTAGCAGAGCCGTCACTAGCAACACCGTCTTCGACTTGTCCTGGGATAGAACTTGTACCCAAACCGGGGTTGGCAATCCAAGGCAACTCTTCCTCCAAGACTCTGGTACAAGTTAGGTACCTCAACGGCTTGCTTCTCACAGTCGTACGAAGCTGAAGGTGATCTTCCAAAAGATCGGCGATGATAACACGATGATCATCCTTGATAACCTCAACAGCATCCGCGAGACACTGCTTTCCTTTGGTCGACATGGCAAAAAGTTTATGGAACTCATCTGCGGCGTGTTTATCGATATAATCGCAGCGAAAGACAGTACGATAAAACTCCACGCCACCATCTTCGTGACGATGATGTCTGTTCGCCATAATAGAAGACTGAAAGAATTGACGACACATTGTTAGAGCCTGCCAGTAGTAGATGTCGGAACCATAATCGGCGCGACCTGGGATCTTGTCGGTAGTCTCTCTCCGAATTAGACGTTGCGGATAGTATTGCAGAAGCCTCCTCTCTACGTCGATTTTCTTATCTCTAAGCTCACGGCACTTACGTTCGGCAACTTGAAGACAGATTTTTCCGTACTCAATGCTGTTAAAACTGCTTCTGTTGATGAGACCCGGAAGCTCGAGACCACCCGCAATGTGAATGATGGATTCACGAAAGATAATCGCCGACTGTAGACGAACAGCAACATCAGACCATGCCTCAGGAGCCTTTGCGACGTGTACCCAGAGCTTCTGGTTGATTCGCAGAAGATAACTCTCAATATATGTGCGAACACTGGGCAAGCTTCCTATAAAGGCGGCGGCTTGTAAGATCGAAACGCAATCGGTGATGTATAGATTTGCACCACCGTCATCAATATCGTCTGTGAGATTGGGAGGCATGCTGTACAACATTCTGAAAAGGTTGTCATAGGTTCTTTCGAAAGACACCTCGCCAATGCCATTATAAGCACCGGCGCTGTGCAAAGTAAGCTTTCCTTTCTTTTTTTCTGGCTGTATTCGAATTCAAGTTAGCAATTGTTTGATTTTGCTGTGAATATTAAAGATTTGTAAAAGTATAGATTTGTTCTGGACTTTGAGGACGTATAGTTGTCTGAAAGTGTTTTGTGACATGCGTGACTACAATACCACGCATTGTTAAGGCTGGTATAGGAAGCTTGAAACTTACAACGCAAACAAAATCTCTGAATCGATGGTCATCAAAGGCGCCAAATGGTATCATCTCAATCCACCATCTAATGGTGTGTGCTTCAGAGCGCATAGTCTTGGTGATGTTTCTTGGTGCAACGTTTTTGAGAAGGGCGCCGATTTTTGGCGCGTAGTTGACCAATTGCCACGAATGAAGTTTCCAGTTTTTTCCTGTGGGTGACATAATGAGAACGTCTCCATCAGGAGGAAATGGATCTTGTGTCGACATGTTGTGCTAGGTAGGCAGTGGTATGATAAAGGTTGACAAAGGTTGGTAAAGGTTGATGTTATTGAGAGGGGCAAGGATAGAGAGAATCTATCGTATTGTATAAGTAGATATAATACAATGAGCAAAAGAAG